TAATGTCTTTAATAGAACATTTAGGATATATTCCGTTTATTTAGGAAAGAGCCAGTATAAACATACTTAGTGACTTACTTTAGCCTGTTACCCCTCGCCAGCATTTCCCATTCAACACTGTCCAGTTGTTATTCAGCCTTTTTATGTCTGCTTCCGATTCTTGGCACAGTGTGCTCATCGACCTTCTTTTCCGTTTCCCTTCAGCGCTCCAAATTAACGCTTGCCTTGTGATGCAGTTTAGTGATTTCCGAAATGTATGTCCTATCCACCTGAAATGTCTTTTTCTAATTTTCTCCTCAGCTAGTACCTAATATGTTCTGTTTCATTGTAATCTGTTGCTGATGCTATCCGGTCAACAGAAATTCAGTATCTTACGTAAACAATTGCTTATAAATATTTGCGTATTTTCGATGTTGGTTGCAGTATTTCACGAAGTTTCATCTCCGTACAGTAGAACTGTTTTGACGTGCATATTGAAGATTCTGACTTTGATATCGGTTGACAATTGTTTTGACTTTCATGGTAGTTTCTTCTTCTCTGAGTAGGTCATGAAACCTGTCGTTGAGCACTATTTTGAATTGTTTGAGTTCGTCAGTATATTGAAAGAAGGCTGTATTGAATGTTTGTAATACTGTTTCCCCAAATGTACAATGCCTCTTTAGCTTCACATTCATCTTGGCGACCACGAGGTAGTGGTGATCTGAAGCCATGTTAGCACCTCTCTTGGTTCTCACGTCTTCCACTGAACTTCTGAATATTTCACTGACGCAGATATGATCGATTTGGTTGTGTATAGTGTGATCCGATGAGACCCATGTAGCTTTGTGTGTTTGTTTGTGGTGGAATATTGTACTGTCTATAACCACTTTGTGGAATGATTATAAATTTACAAATCTATCACCATTCTCGTTGTTTACTCCCAGTCAGTCCATGTTTTCCTATGATTTCTTGATACACGGTGTTGTCCTTCATAGAAGACCAAAAGATGAAGACACGATGTTGTCCATTATGACTTTCGCGTTTAGGAATCCCGTGGAGAACGTCAGGTCATTTCTTGTGCACTTCTCAATGATCGACTGTAGCCTCTCACAAAACTCTGATCATTATCGTCTTTATTAATATTGTTGATGGGTGCGTAGCAGTGAATGGCAGTCGTTGTGATTCTTTTCTTCTTTGTTTCGAAGGATGTTTTCATGATTATGATTTCACGAGATTCCTTTCTTATCAGTGCTTTTTGTGCTTCTTTGGACAGCATCATAGTAATTCTGTGAGTATGTGGGTCATTTTCTGCTTCATGAACAGAGTACAACAGCATATCTCCCGAATCTAATCTATTCCGTCTAGATTGGATTCTATGAGTTTCACTTATTGTGCGAACTATCAATTTTTAACTGTTAATTTTCACAGCCGTTTGATTGGTCCTCTTGGTCTCGTACATTGTTCGATCATTTCATATATTTATATTAAACGTTGCTCCGGTTGTCAGAAAGTGTATCGGCCTCTTGAATTCCGAAGAATTTCATATGTAATCATAAGGCATCGTAATTCTTGTAAACAAAGATCCTTGAAGTCTCAGGATATGTTTAGATCATATTTCTGAGTATCATTTTTTTCGTTAAGTTTTCTTCGCGATGTGATTGCAGACGCCATGTTAAACGCTTTTCTTTTATCCGATTTCGGGATTGGCAATAACCTTATATGGGCTACAGGCTAAGTTTAAAGTTCACAATTAAATAATCTTTTTGATTACATTTATGCTTGAAACTGGCATTGAAAACAATCATTTTCGTTGCTTCTCTATTTTCTTTCTCTCATATATTTGAATTAAACTGTTTACTTATAAATACATTTTAAACAAAATTTAAGTGGTATATAAGCATGTACCATGAAAAATTAATTTGATAATGATATGTATGAAAAAGAGATTTTATATATTGTGTTTATCTTACTGGATAGGGTTGTTTAATGCAATTTATTAAACCTATGTTAGATAATCAAATTTATTCGTACTTTGACTATTTTGTATCATTGGTAACTTAATACAATTTCTCACGAACATGAATCATTTATATGGAAATTACTTAGTTATAATTTCATATTGGTCAAGCATATATAAACTAGCAGAATCCGAAATTCAGGTAGTTTATTGAATAGACTAAGAGTATTAAAACAATGTGATATATTGGTGGACTATATTTCGGACAATCTCTTGATATATATATTTGATGGGTTTTGTAGATATTATAATAATTTCAATGGTTAAGATCATGAGTCAGTTGAAGCTAGGCCACCATCGGAAACCTGGAAGCACTGGACAGCCGTTTCGTCCTATTGTGGAACTCCTCAGCGCATCCATAACCTCGCGGAATTCCAACCCAGGACCTACTGGTTTCGCACGCGAGCACCTAACTACTAGACTACTGAGCCAGCATCCAACGGATGTGTCGCTCAATTTCGTGGATTAGTTGAGGTTAGACATTAACACACAATAAGACGAAACGGCTGTCCAGTGCTTCCAGATATATATATATATATATTAAGATCTATGTATATGAAATAAGTAAATGTTAGCTAAACAACTATTGAGCCAATGTATCGCATACTTCCGATAATATTTCGTCTTAGAGATTCACTGTTCAAACTTACCAGAAAGACCAATTATTTTAACAGTTCGAAATCTTCCACGAAACACTCAGTTCTATATTTAATTGTTTGTCTTTCAATAAAAAAAATTGTTTAGAAGCATCATGCTAAGACAGCTTCTGCGTTTTACTATCAACTCTTGATTTATTTACGTCTATTACCTCAGATCGCTAACTGCTGTGTTTATCAACACGTCAGTTTTAGGATATTCTCAGAAATAAGTTTTCTTATTCTAATTCAACTAATAAACCTTAAATGGAATTGTATAAGTTTACTTAATGAATCATTCGGATCACATTTCATGCTTTTGAAGGATGATTCCTAAAAGGTTTCAATTGTTGATGAAAAATGTTCATTCAAAGAGGAAATGTTTATTTTAAATAACGTCATTTATTAAAACTGTACAATCATAATTACAGTTATTTAACATATATTAGTGTACTGATAGGTAGAATGCTGCTGTGTCCTAAATATTCGAAAACTTCAAGTATCTATAGAAACTTTGTTGCTTCACTATTTTAATTTTAAGGCTTTCAGTTGAGTTGTATTCATAACTTTATCTAGAAATTGTCATCGGAATTCTTTCATTTTGTACCTTCTTCTATGTTATGCCAATCGGATTTTAGTTAGATTTAATAATTTTACTCAATAAATTAATAACTTGTTGGTTTAAATTAAGGTGATTTTGTTATCCATCGAAGACACTTATTCTTCATGTAATAACTCAATGATATTTGCTTTTGATACTTTGTCGTGTATACGTACAAAAATATAATGCTGAAAGATATCAGGATTATTCAACAACAAGCTAACAGGTTAAGTAAAATTTTACACTATCTAACACAACGCATAACTATTGCTATGAATCTTTTTGTCAAAGTGTACAATTTTTATTATGATCATGAAATATGTTTTGTCAATGTTTTCCATTAATAAACGAAATGAACAGAAGGACTATGGAAAACATATGAACCTTAGACAGCTGTCTTTTCATAGTCTACAATTCTTTAGTATTGTACATAACACGTAAATGAAAAACTATTGCAGAATCCACCAAACATTATAAATTAAATATCTAAGTTTATTTGCAACAAAAGAACGTTCAAGTAACTAATGAGCATTAAAAAGAAACTGATGAAAATTAAGGACAAACTTAAAGAAGATCATCAAAAATCCATAACTCAACATATGGTAGACGTACCTCGGTCAAGTGAATTCTACAGTGACTTTGTACATTCGTTTGTGTATAATAAGTACACAATTACGAAACGGCCGTCCAGTGCTTCTAGGTTTTCCATGGTGATCTAGCTTCAACTGACTCTCAACTATTAAAAATTACATAAACGTTATCAAAAATATGTTGATTGTATTGTATTTCATATGTACCTAATATCCGACGGTATAAATGTGTAAAGTATTTTCACTGCCTACTGGTTGAACTTAGTATTGGAATATGCTTCAGAACAAACTGAATGCTTCTAACTTGAACTAATACTCATTCAATTTATTCTGTATGAACTATGGTTTTTATTATTGTGAACGATAACTTCTTTCTTACTACTAAAATACAGTGTACAATAGGATAATCAAGTACTAAGTACTTTTACGTTTTTGACTGAGATCATGAACCAATTGATATTAGACCATCTTTGAAACCTGGAAGCACTGGACGGCCGTTTTGTCATATTGTGGGACTCAGCAGTGCGCATCCACGGTCCCGCGAGCGGGATTCGAACCCAGGGCCTTCGTTCTCGCGCGCGAACGTTTAAAATAATGGACAATTGAGCCGGCACCCAATGCTGATGGTGTCTAACATCAACCAATCCACGAAATTGCGCGACCAACTTCCATTTTACTGAGGTGGATACCTGTCTCTAACCGACATGGATTAGCTCCACTGATCATGGCTTCTCACTAGAACTCCGAGAATTCCCTCACGAAGCTAGTTACTAGTGAGCACATGTTTCTTTGTAGTATAAAAAACCAAACAACTAATGGAAATTAGTGAGAGACTTTCAATACCTTTTCGACAATGCAAGTTTGTGATTTTTTTTTGTTATTTTATAATACAGTGTAATTCCTTCGGCATAGTTTTATTGATTATAATTTTGGAACTTATGATTTAACACGATCTCTAATTCAATGATCATCCTATGCATTTCAACTCACTGAAAATTCACACTGTTTACCAATGAAAAGAATTAATTTCAGATTGAAATTTTTTGCCAACTCTTCGCTTACAAATAATAGAGGGGTTGAAATTCTAATAAATTGTAGAGCTTACTTGCGCTTATTAATCTCTATCTACTGAAAATGAATTAGATTATTAAGCTTTTTATCAATTTACTCATTTCTAGACAATCCTACACCAGTACATACACCTATACGTTCAGCAATACCGATATTACGCTTACCAGAATATGTAGCTACACTTAAACGTGACAATGGAATAGGCATATCAGAAGAGTATGAAAGTATTGAAACACCAAACGACCTAACATGGAAACATGCTAATATGGAGGAGAACAGACCGAAAAATCGTTATGCGAATATCATTGCATATGATCAATCACGTGTAGTTCTTAATGAGATCAGTCGTATACCAGGTTCTGATTATATTAATGCTAATTTTATAGACGGATATCAGAAGAAAAGTGCGTATATTGCAACTCAGGTAAATGATATGTATTTTTTGATATCATAAAGAAATGAAGTTCTATTTTTAGTAAATATAATTTCATGTATTAATTGCATTTATCATTATAGTGGCAGTTGGTCTTCTACATTTGAAATTTCAATTACAAAAAGCTTTCCAGTTAATTCCAGATAAGCTATTTCTAATCCAAATATCCTAAAACTACTTAGGTCTAATTTTACTTCAATTATTATTGTATTGAGTTTTCATTCCGTACCGGTCAAGTGTTACCACACTTATGATACTCATTGTATAGCAAATCTGATATCATTATTATTGGAGGGTTATTTTGGTGTTTTATTTAGTAGTTATATCTTGTTTAAAGAACTAACAAGAAAATTAATAAAGAAACACAGCACAACGATTATCCATAAACTTGAAGTCATGCACAAGCGTCAGTTTATGTCTTTTGTTACTTAGACTACTCATACAATAAAAAAAAACAATCTATTAAAGTTTAAGGAACATTTGCAATTGTAGTAACCGTGTAGCTATTTTTCAAGTCCTGAATATATTTGTTTGTTATTTTTGGTATTTCAACAAGATGACTTAAAAATCAGAGCGATTCATGTTTAAAGATAGCACAAAATATCTTTAAAACATTATAAAAGGATATTGGAGATATATAGATCCTGATAAACTCAGAGAAATATCTTCTTGGCATTAAACTACCAGTCTTCAACAACACTCACAAAGTGCTATAAATTGTCATAGAAGTTTGTAAAACACCTTTGGAATATGTTTTAGCCACATATCAGATTTTAGACAGTTTAGATTTCAACACTAAATGTCGGTGGATTAGTAATTATTAAACTTTGCTCTCAACCGGTAAAGTGTAGTTTAGTGGCCCGATGTCTGACTTCATATGGCTCGTATGAATGGTTGTTGAAGTATACATATCGCCAATCCTCGTATATGATCATTGACTTAACTCGCGTTAGTGAATAATGGAATTAAATAAGTCAAATACGAGAATGAAGTTTTGAATAGGTACATTTTGTACACTTGTTGATCGAGACAAACGATCCAAGAAACGAAGCGAACGAAGTGTAGAGAAGAGGACGAAGCGAAATGGCGCGCAGTGGAGATTGTGTGTGAGCCAACTCCATTTAGTCAAGCGTGAATCGATATTTATAGTCAGGACAAAAATTAGTTACAGACATGTGATAGGTAGGATGTGATGTACACACGCATCAGCTCATATAAAAACAATCAAGGTTGATAAGCCAATAATTAACAAGGCCAAAACATGACTTAAGAATGACAGATAAATTGGTCTGTCCAGAAGCTAGAATAAGTTATATGGGCTTGACATAGTAACCGATACTACAGTAGCTTCAAACCCTGCCTCAACTTCAGTTTTCGTAACTCGGCTATGCTGCCACAAAGTCTGACACAAAACTGATCACTAACTTCTTTTAATTAATTTTATTTCTCTTAAAGTGTCATTGTAAAAAATGTTTATGTGTTAATTATATTAGGAACAGTTATTCTGGTATAATGTCTCACTGTGTACATTTTACTGAAAACGCAGAAATGCATGTTAGCGAGCCAATCGAATTCAGATGTTAGGTTGAATATAATGTTAATTTTATACAGGAAAAATATATAACTACAGTCATGATCTGTATTCCATACTATGTAGATTAAACATTTCATATTTGATTTTGCATGTAAATTGGCTTACCTCATATAACTTATAGTTATTGAGAATAAACTATTATCACTTGGTAATTCTGGGGAAATAGTTTATTTATAAAGTTGAAAGTTCACACTTCAGAGTCCTAATCTTTTTCGCAAAGTCAACGGTATAACAACTAATTCACTCTAGCCTATAATGTATACTGAAATGATATTTGTTGAAAAACAATCTAGCAAAAATCAAAGATTCTTGAAAGTTTGCCGTTTAATAATCATAAAATATGTTGATGAATTGTGAGACAAAAGTACTGTGCTTACTTAAAGATCTCTGGATTCAAATGACTGTAATTGTCAAAATATAACTACGGTCATTGTCTTTAAAAGCAAATCATCCCGTACTAATCGGAAAATAAGGAAAATTCCATATCAAAAATGTGATTTCCTTTCAGGCACATTTTATATCAGATATTGCTAGCACTCAAAATAACTCCAAAGTAATAAAACAAATAGATTAAGGAGTTTACCTAAGAAACAATAACAATAGATCACATAAACAAGAAAGAGAATGAAACATTAACAGATTTAACGAAATGTTTTCAAACAAATTTCAAAATCAAGTATAAACCTTTTCAATCATGATAAATTTGATCTATGTGTCATTTTGTATAAATGAGTCTCGTTTTCCATCACAAGGATAATAAATTATAGTCACTGACTGAGATCACATTACAATGTATGAAAAATCAAATCATGACACATAAGATTTTTTTAGATGAGTTCAATAAACAGTTTTATGAATAAATCTGTATTTACGACTATAGGCGAAACATTTTTTTTGTATTTATTTAGGGTCCATTGCCAGGTACATTTTATGATTTTTGGCGAATGGTATGGGAGCAAAACAGTCGCGTAATTGTCATGATGACACATTTAGAAGAGAGAGCACGTATTAAATGTGATCAATATTGGCCGAATAGAGGAAAAGAAGTATTCACTTTACAACAACAGCAACAATGCCAACAACAAGAGTATAACAGTAAAGTAAATTATGATATTAATTACACCACAGTGCCTACGTATACTGTGATCATAAAAAGCGTACAAGAATTTGCTTATTACACATTGCGTACATTTATTCTACAACGTAATTATGAAACTAATCTACTGGAAACTGATTCAGCTGCCTTCAATCAACATCAGAGTATTAATGATTCTAATATGAATATTGAACAGCGAGAGATTAAACAGTTTCAATTCACAGCATGGCCGGATTATGGTACACCCGATTATCCTCAACCATTACTATTGTTTATACGACGTGTTAGTCAAGTACGTTCACAGTTAATGCATCATCTACAACAAGAACGTTTAATTAATGATGAGAAAGTTAATTCAAGAGAATTAAAATTATCACAATCAAGTGATATTCATAATTCCATGAATTTAAACCTTTCCGATGAAATTGGACCTTTGATTGTACATTGCTCAGCTGGGGTTGGTCGTACAGGTAATTTTATTGCATGATTTTGTAACAATTTATTTAAGTTTTATAGTACTTTCATTATTTTTCAAATGTTCAACTAATCCTGACATTCATCACATTGATTTGAAAAAAATAATAATTAACGATGGTCAGACATTCAACAATATAACTGATTTGTAACCAGATAGATCCTGTTGTTCAAAAATCGGAAAATATAGGAATGAGTATCTGTGATAGTTTTCTGTTACAACTTTTATTTCGATGAAAAGCCTTGTCAGAAATCGTCAATTTCACTTCCTACTTCACTTTTACTGACTTGGTTTAAATTTAAACGATAATTTCTGGATTAATTTATCAAATTACCATCTCCTTTTAAAGAAGTAGACATTTTATTAAGTGTAGATAAAAAAGCTTAATGTCTGATTAAACTAAGAAAGACCGGACCTCAGTAGAAAAGTAGGGATGGGATATAAGTATTAGGACTTAAATCTCTTTTTACATTATGAAAGCATCCCAGTAGTTAATTATTTACTTATGACTTTTACCCATCATGAAGGAGTAACACTGTTGAAAACGTTTCCTGTTACTGATAGTAATGTGATACTTCCTTAGTTCTCACACCTGATCAGATCTTACTTTGGTATATCAGTATACCTGATATCTCTACTTCCAGCCTGTCGGCACTTGTCCTTATTGCAGTTACTTCTGTGTCTGACTTCGATGTTCCAGGTGGTGTGTCATCTGGTACTACTGATTTTCCACTCTTGATTGGTCTGATGACCATCCTCATTTCTTGGATTGTCGAAGATGTTCAGTGGGTTCATTGTAGCTGGTCTATTCAAGCTTTACTAAAAATGCTCTACCCATCTGTTCCTTTGTCGTTGAATCTCAATGACTAGCTTGCCTTCTTTTTCCCATATATCTGTATTAAATGTTACTCCGGTTGTCAGAAAGTGTATCTGCCTCTTGACTTCCGAAAAATCTCGGTTTTAATCATGAGGTGTCATAATTATTTCCTCAATGTGGAGGGTAGAGTATAAATCGTTTAATTTGTTTGTTTTTTTTTGGTTAATTTTTTCTTTTACGAACACTTGGGGCCAGCAGCAACGTTAGAAGAGCTATAAGCGGAGTTGAGTCACTGATTGAACAACAGAAATTCATCAACAAATTTCACTTAGATTTCAAAATTCCTGTATCATTATTAAGTACAACATATATAAGCAATCAAAATGGTTTTTAATTAGGTCTTTATCGAACTTTACTATACAATAATATATATGTATATATAAAGAAATGTCAGACCAATCAAGGTAAATTATGAGTAAGCAATAACAGTGGAATAGATTCCACAATTAAAACTAATGCGTAAAAAGTATAGATTGATAGCATTATGATAAGTGTACTAGTTTGTTTGATAATTTCATATATGAATATAAATTTTACTATATATTAGAGTAAAACCCGATAAGGGTCTAATTGAAAGTTTGCCCAAAACAAATCTTATTTATCATGACCACTGAATTGAGTGCTCTGATATCATACTGTTGATAGAACTCCTATCTTTATTGGTTATTCGTTCTATAATACATAAATTCAGTTTGATGGACTATTGGTAGTTCGTTTTATCCTACTGCCTAACTCAAATTTCTGTTCGGTCTTGTTGTATTTGTTTACCCCAATGTTTTTGCTGGAGGTTCATGCAAAACCGAACTAGTATTATGCTAAAGATATTTTCAATTACATGACTCCAATAAATTCATTATTCTCAACTAAAATAAATGAATTTTATATAATACTTAATTTTACAATCATCAAAATAGATTAGAGGCTCTTTTATGACTTTAATCATTTTAAACAATATGTACATAATTCTGTTAAATGGTTATAATTAACTTTTTTGAACTAACTAACCTTTATTATTAGGTGCATTTATCGTTATCGATTCTCAACTTGAACGACTTAAACATGAAAATTCAGTTGATATATTTGGTGCCGTATGCAGAATGCGTGCACAAAGAAATTTTATGGTACAAACAGAAGAACAATATGCATTTCTCTACGATGTATTTATTGAAGCAGCTGAAGTACATGGTACTGAAGTTACAGCTCATGGTTTATATAATCATGTTGTGAAATTACGTCAACCTGTACCAACATGTATTTTAGCTGGTTATAATTTATTACCAAATGGTTTACAAGATAATAATCATTTAACATCATCTATAAAAATTTCAAGTTTAGAATTAGAATTTAAAGTAAGTAAATATTTTCAAAGAAACGTTTAAATGATTCTTTGTTTTAATTTAGTTACAAATATCTTAGGTTTTTAGTTTTAAGTTACATCTAATTGACTTTTATTTAAACTGAAATTAATTCATTTACATAAATGTTTTAATTACTTACTTACTTACTTACTTTTCTGGTCAGCGTTTTTTTAGCGAGTTAGTTTTCTACGGGATGGGGTCGTTAACCACATGCCCAACCCTCCTCCTGGGACCGGCAGTAGCCCCCGGAGGGACTCAAGGCGGAGTTTTAATACTAAATTTTTATTCGACTTATACTAGGAAATAGGACAAAATTGTGTAAATAGTTATATTAACACTCCTCGAATGTTAAATCAGCTAAGAAAATTGAAGCATCGAGATGTAAAATTTGGTACGAAGTATAGAAAACATGTAGTGATAAATACTTAATGAATACTGAACGAAATTCGTAAGTATATGCAAGTATTATAAATGCATAGGCTATATATTAGCTTAATAAAAATTTGCAAAGTACGATAGTTGAACATAATTCATTTAATTTCATTTCTTCATGATATATATACAAAATAATCGTAACTATGTTAGGATACCAAATAGTTTAGAAACTAATGTTGATAAGAATCAAACTCTGAACATTTAAGCTTTGTGGCAAATAAAATTAATTGAGACTCTTAAGTATACATCGAATGATATTTATTTTAATCTCGGTCACTTTGCGATACAACGTCATCAGTAACCTCTGCCATCGATGTTACATATCTTCATTCTGATACATTTCATCTGAGTCATTAAAGATAAATCAAGAGGTTCTTTGTTTATCGATTATCCTGAATAAAAATATATCATTTTCTGTAATAATTTATCTGGCTTATGGTTAGTTTGTAGGAAAATGATCCATAGCTATTTATTTATTTAGTTTTGCTTTATTCAATTCTTTAAATAATTCTACATTTCAGAGATTAAATCGTAATTTAATAAATAAACGTCAAATAACTACAGCCCTGACATATGATAACAAAACAAAAAACCGTGATTTAGACATACTCCCCTATGAATCTAATCGTGTTTGTTTATCATTAATCCGCGGAGTAAATGGATCAGATTATATTAATGCTAGTTATATAGATGGATATCGTAAGAGTCGGGCTTATATCGCTACACAAACACCTTTACCGCATACAGTAGATGATTTTTGGAGATTAATATGGGAATGTAATTCACCTATAATAGTTGCATTTAGTGATGCTCGAGATATGAATTTAATACCAACAGATATTAATCAATATTGGCCAAGTGATAGATCGACAAGATATCAAAATTTAATGGTTGAACCTATGGTTGAATATAATATGCCACATTTTATATTACGTGAATTTCGATTAACTAATACAACAGATGGTCAATCACGTACTTTAAGACAATTTCAATTGCATGGATGGCCACATGATAGTATAGTACCTAAATCTGCTGAAGCTATTATTGACTTAATTGGACAAGTGCATAAAACTCAAATTCAATTTGGACAAGACGGTCCTATAACTGTGCATTGCAAGTAAGTAAATCTTAGATACTTTTTATAATTGTAAATATTTAGATTAATTTTTATTAGTTTAACTTACTTTCTTTTTTAAAATCTAACAAAATTATTAATTATCAGTGGTTTACGTAACTAGTAATTAATACTCCTTAAAATACCGCTTTGTAGTAGAAAATATACGTACTACAAGGAGTAAATTATAATGGTTCTCTTTCTCATATTAAATGGCCTGATAATTCACGTTTACCTTCTAGATCTTCTGTTAATTATAATGAAAACTTTAACAAATAACCATGATACTATATGTGAGAATTAATTACAAACTATGTATAGTAGTTTGCTTTTAATGTCCAATACTTATATTTTATATAGGTACATGTTAATGGTGTAAATTTACACAACGTCTTAATAATTTCAAAATGTTAGTTATAAATCCTGAAGATATAAAAGATGATCACCCTTAGTTGTTTTCAATATATATTGAACTTAAAGTGTTTAGAAGTATTACTATTTCATACAATATACAATTAAGCTATTTTCATCGTAGAACGTACAGTTTAAAAAGTGCTTTGTTTATGCCAGTATTTTCATATTTTCAACATATGTGTTTTCGAAAATCCAGTAAACTTCATGGATTTTTAAGAAAACATTTGACGGATTAATCAAGCGCATAGTTTCACTGTCTATTAGATAACATACTTGCTATTTTTGGGTATTTGTCTTGGAATAAGTAAAAAAGAAATAGTTACAATTAAAACACTTAAGCCATATTGCCAGTGACTTTATTTATTTATAAACGTGCACAGAATATTTATAGCTCCATGACATAATTACTTACGTAGTCATTATCCATGATTATTCTGAAAGTTTTCTAGTATTCGATTGACTATCAAGTTCCCTATAAATGAGACAGCCTTACATATAGTTTGTTAATTGTATTTAATTGTTTATCGTTATTTCACTTAAATAATAGCTGATTTCTTATTTAATTTCATCTCATTTCATTTGTATAGTACGGGATCAGGAAGAACCGGTGTATTTATATGTTTAAGTATTTTATTAGACAGAATGAGATCTGAAGGTATGGTAGATATGTTTCTGATTACACGAATGTTACGTACACAACGAATTAATACTATACAAACATCTGATCAATATGCATTTTGTTATGCAGCTACTCTTGAATATTTAGCTTCATTCGATCATTATATGAGTTGATTTCTTTTTTTTTTAAATTTTAGTCACAGAATATAAGTACTCTTATTTTCAACCCTTTTATACTGATAAATTTCTTTACAAATCCACTGTAAACATACCTAAATATACATAATTTAAAAAATGCATTATTCATATAATCAAGATTATGAATCAATTAAACTTTATTATTAATAATAGAACGAAATAGAGAAGCAAAAATGCATTTACTAAATAAAAATTATATATATATATACTACTGAATAAAACTGTACTGAAAATAATTATTGTAATAGTGTTTTGTATAGCAACTTTTTTAAAATTTCGAAATGACCTGTTTTCCACAAATCAAAAGGATCTTTATCAAATATAATTACTGTTTATTTATTGATTTATATATATATATATATATATATATATATATATATATATATATATATATATATATATATATATATATATATATATATTCATGTAAAATATTAGTTTCCCTAGATACAATAGTTTCCTTTCATTTTTCAATTTTTTTCTCTCTTCCTATTTTACTTTTGTGATACAATCTTGTTAAGGATTTTGTTGTTTATTTTTATGGATTCTTTCTCATTTTGATTAGTTCCATTTACTTTTCTCATTATGTATTATCAATTTTCATTTTTGTTCATATTCTTGTGTATTTTCTTTATGAAAACAATAATCTCTTTCTTGTTATTTGATCGTTTTTTTTGTATGTGTGTGTGTGTATGACATTGTTTCCAGAGTTTTAGGCTTATTGAAATTATCGATTCAATCCTATATGTATCATTCTCAGAAATATAATATTGTATAAGTTTATCGTTTACTATAAATCAATAATAAACGTTATGCTTTTGTTTTCAATAAGAAACGATTTTCATATTATATTGTTGTTGAATTTTAATGTATAATAATGAAAAATTAGTAAACTAGTTTTCTTATAATTGAATCCATGAGTCAATTGAAGCTATACTACCATGGAAAACCTGAAAGCACTAGACGGCCGTTTTATCCTCGTATGAGACTAGTCAGCAGTGCGCATCCACGATCCCGCCCCGCAAGATTCTAACCCATGATCTATCAGTCTTGCACGCGAACGCTTAACTTTTAGACCATTGAGCTGGCCGGCATTGAAAGGTGTTAATGTCTAACTTCAACTAATCCACGAAATTGAACCAACATTGTCTTCAGTGAGTTACTATCTCACAATAGACCCGGATGAACTCCACTGGTCACTGCTTCTCACAAAAACTCCAGGAAATACTTCATTAAGTCAGTCATTAGTGAGCATACGATGATTATTATCAGAAGGAGTTCCATACTACGACGAAAAAGCCATCTAGTGCTTCCAGGTTTTCCATGGTGGTTTAGCTTCAAATGAATGATGAATTCAACTATAAAATTAGTTTTCGTTACTCTACTTGTAATTGACTTTTTTAAAACAAAATTCACCCCACTGATTAGTTATATTTGCAGATGAAGTGAAACTAGACGTTGTCATAAAATGTGTCTTATATATTATTTAATTTAAAAGTTTCTCTTATCCGCTTACAGTAGTGAAATTAGTACTCCCTTTTATCGAATTCTATGGTATTTTGGCAGTAAGTTAACATTAAATGTCGTGTGTATTGTTATGGCTTATGATTCAATAAAATACTGATATCTGAATACAACATTTTGATGATTAAGGCTACCAAAAAAATTACAATCACAAACTATTATTTTCTTCATACAAACATAAACTATAATGTTAGGTTTCATGATAAGTATATTGCTTTCAGTGACAAATACATAAAAATACTTTTAGAAGAGCTCTTTTCCAAAGTTTTATCTTAGTTATCATTGACCATCAAAATGTATCTGGAATCTTATTAGAACTGGTGCTGGCAGGAATACACATCCACTTGATCTTCATTTAGCCAGGCGTCTAGCTGTTTACTTTCATTGGTCCAAGTGAAAGCAACAGGTACCACACTTTATATACATAATCTAATGATCAGATTTTTACACTTCAGAAGAATGGTGTAGCAATTAAACTATGCGACACTTGTTACTGCTCGTTAACTGATCGATACTTACAGCCAGAGAGTTGGAACTTTATATACGAATTTACTACAGTAGGAGTGAAAACTAAAAACTGTGATATTTTGTCATTATCTTTTAGTAATACTATCCTACTAGTTTCCATAAATAAGGAATATTCGTCCTATTCAACTTCAAAGTGATTAACGTATTATGATCCACGTTTATATTCGTGTCCTAAAAATAGGATGTTTATTATTACCATTATTTATAAACTCACTACTTTCATGTATCCAAACTTACCTAATTATTCATTTCAAGTAATCTACAGAATGTTTCCGCTTTATTAGATGAAATAAGTGTAGTAGATCGATATAGGTATTATAAATAGTCCGTAACCCTGTACTCCTTTTATGTTTCAGGTAAACTTTCTTCTGTCATTGGAAAAGTGTTTTTAAATTAATATTCAAAACATTTATCTAACAGTAAAAATCCGTGAATAAGGATAGAGTCCTTACCAGGTATATATATTTGTAAAATGTGTTAAATTACCATCTTGTCAAATAAAATAAATAAGTTGTTAGCATACGTCTAAAAAAAAGTCTTGGATTTCTTATATACATTTTTTCCCTCTAAATCTTTACTGTAAAATTACTAAAACTGATTTTTTTTATTAACTGAACGGCCTTCCAGTGCTTCCAGGTTTTTAATGATGATCTAACATTGATCGGTTCATGATCTCAATAAAAAAAACTTAACAATCTCCACAACCCCTAAACTGATAAAACTAATTTGTTCATCTAAAAACATTTGCACTTTATGCGAACCTAAATATTGTTGAGTGTAACATTATACAATTTTTTATAAATGTATAAGTAGTACAATTACTTGTGTTTGATGAGTGGTCAAATCACTTCTATATTCAAGAACATTAAAGTGTAAATATTCAGATTTCTGAGTATAATAGGAAGTATGTTCATTAGTCTTAATTGTAAATATAATTACCATCATATTGACCTTTCATAAACGCAGATTCGGCTGCACATATATAAAAACTGAGTGAATATTTATATATTAATAATAGTCAAGCCAGAATATGGGAACATGATAAAACAATGTCAATTTCGTTCTGAATTATTTTAGAAATATAAGGTATTACTGATATATATAAATCAGTCATTTTGATTTTGGTATAAGTTGAAATAGTAAAATTAGTGATTATTTTAAATAAGATAGAAAATACTTTGAAATGAGTAACAATATATATTGTTTATTAAATTTACTTCTCTGTTATTGTTTAACTCGTTAGTATTACTGACTTGCTGTACAATCAGCTTATAACTACCCCCTCAGATCGAAAACTATCAGGACGGTGCAGAAAATTATGAATGCTCTTGAGGCGTAAATAAAAGAAAGAGTAATAGCAGTACTAAACATATCATGTTCACCTATTTACCAAGAAATTACACTATATGCAGTGTTCGTTCAAAAAAATACTTCAGTGATTTATGTATTTTACTATCTCTGCCAAAAACCACTGCCTGCTGCTAAAAAGAGCCATTCAACTGTGATCAAACAGATCTTTAAAAATTGTAAACTCTCTCAAGAATAAGCCAACAAATTCAATTTATTTCCCTGATTATGCAGAAGGATTTGCAGTGACATCATCAAATTTCGTAGGTTGGACTTTAAAACTGATAGGTCCTATTTTTTTACCTTACGATGCTACAGGAGATTTTACAACTCAAAAACAATTACTTACCGACTGATCACCTACGTTTTATGATTCTACACTACCGATTGGTAACTTCAGGCATTTTAAAATACGATTAAGGAAGTAATAGTGTACTATAAAGCTTGTGACTTTAGGCAATATCATGGCAGTTCGCACAAGATGCACATATGCCAACAAGAGACGGATAAATTGCAGTCCTAAATAACAATGGGAAGTAAGTGAACAACACCAAGTGAATAGTGTACTATGTTAGATATGACATGACTGTTTTCTTATTTCACATTCTAAAATAAACTAATATTTTGTAAACACCATACGAAAAACAATTATGTTCATTTTCTTTAAGGCATGTACTCATTAGTTTCAAGGACATAAATACGATGTACATGTTCGAGTTCGAAGAATATTGTTACATAAGGGCTTTAAAAAGATAATCAATTATGAGTGACTCGAAGTAAAACAAAACAGATAAAAATGAGTTAATTAAGAGCTAAATAATTTTCGGAAATATGGTTTAAGGTAGCCATCTGAATTCATTAGTTTAGTAATCCCGTTCTAATATATCCAGTATAAATTCCATACATTCTACCCGACCTTGATGCGTTGTAGTAACAAATATAATGGCAGTGATATAAAATGTCGGATACAGAATGTTTTAGAAATATTGCATTTCACGCAGCCCAAATATCAAGCCGATGATGAATGTAATTGATCCGATGTAATATGGATACTAATTTGCAATGAAACCAATTACAACTCATTAAATGAGTTTATTTTTTAATTTTTTATTTGAACATATAAATATTGGTACAAGAATACGCCAAATACATATGCGCCACACAAAACAATGAGAATTTAAGGGGAAGGAAAAATAATAATAACGAAGAGATTGATGTAAAGTGGTGTAATAATAATAATAATAATAATAATAATAATAATAATAATAATAATAATAATAATAATAATAATAATAATAATGGTAAGAATGGGGGAACGGAAAGGTACAATCAGAAGAAATCTTTCAGTTAAGGAAGACATAACCACTTTTTATGAAGAAAGTAAAAAAAGGTTACGGCAGGATCTCCACTGGCTTTTATTCTGAGCCATATCTGATAACGTCTCTAGCCACTGTGTCGCACCATCTCTCGGACCCCAGCCAGGGGGTCGTGAAGGACCAACAGAAGCCAGTCCTCTGCAGCTTCCTTTCATCCCACGACACCATGTCATATACTGACCACCTCTCCGCTTTATCCAACCAGTCCCACAGTCGGCAAATAATGCTCGACGTGGAATTCTTTAGGACAACATTCGTAGAACATGTCCAAGCCACCGATGTTGATGTTTCAAGATGGTGACACCACTTGAGTTATCGTCTCTGTGCCCGAACACACGATGCCGAACCTCTGCATTACTACTGACATGGTGTTGCGACTGGATGTCAGCAATCCTTTAGAGACAACGATGATCAAATACAGAGAGTCGTCTAACATCCTCAACTCGGAG